GGCCGGGCCGGGCCGTGCGCGGGGCGCTACGCACGCCGTGTGGGCCCCGCCGCCTCCCCGGGCCGCGGGTGTGCCCGAGGGGTGAACTCTGCCCCGGGGATGTATCCCGGGATCCCTGCTGTATCCTCGTATCCCCGTTTTGTGCGCTGAACAGCCACTGAGCGAGTAACGGGCCCGCGCGGAGCCGCTCCGCGCCTCGCGGTCTGTGACGTTATTGCTCAGAATGGGCCCCAGAGAGGCCGCGATCGAGAGGAAATGGYCTCGAACTGCGCCAGGGGAGSCTCAGGTGGGACATCAGCAGGAATTTMTTCCTGGWAAGGGTGGTCGGGCYTYTAAAGRRGCTGCCCAKGCAGGTTTGGAGCGCCCATCCCTGGAGGTGTCCAAGGAAGGCCTGGACGTGGCACTGAGAGCTCTGGGCTGGGGACARKGTGGGGATCGGGCACGGCTGSGACTCGATGGCCTTGGAGGGCTTTTCCAAARTAAATGATTCCGTGATTCAAACCTAATCCCGGCCCAGCCCGGGCGGTCCCGGCCTTGCCCAGGGTTGTTGGAGCTCCTTATCAGGGGTGTGAATGGAGCGTTCAGGGCAGAGCTCAGATAAGGCGCCACATTCCTGCCTCTCTCTGCAGCTTCCCTGTTTGTTTTCCATTAGTTCATTGACGTTTATGAGCAGCAGTTTTGTGTACACCAGTCTTTTGCTGGTAACAGGCTGAATAATACATGTCGGCATCAATTATTTAATACCAGTGCATGTAGCTGTCTGATACTCTTACTCAGTTATTTCRCCTGTGTGATGTAAAACCTTTGGAATTAAGGTGAAAACCCCCAGAGCTAAGGTGAAAACCCTGGAATTAAGTTTCCCCGCTGGACCACTGAGGTTTGGTAGCTTAGGCATGGCCTGTTGCATTCACTGGTTTAAACCATGGATTGCTGTCAGATTTTGGGATACTCTAGGGACAAGATTGGAATTCCTTTGGTTGGAACAGCTGTCAGACAGAATCGGTTTCATTTTGAAGCCTTGTGTGCTGATCCAGTACTGCTTCTCCCTCATTTTGCCCTCCTAATCTGAAGAGAGCTGGATTTTTAACGTGGATTAGAAAGAGGAAACATCTGTTAAACATAAGAAAAAGGTTAGGTCATAAATTTCTGCRTTTCTAAAAGTGATAAAATCCATGGAATCAATGTTGATCAATAAGTCCAACTGTTTCCCCAGCACAGCCAAAGCCACCACTGCCCCATGTCCCCAAGTGTGACATCCACATGGCTTTAAATCCCTCCAGGGATGGGGACTCCCCCCCCTGCCTTGGACAGCTGTGCTAAGGGTAGAGAACCTTTTGGGAAAAGAAATTTCACCAATATCCAACATAAATGTCCTTTGGTGCAACTTGAGAGCATTTCCTCTTGTTTTGTCACTAGTTATCTCTGTCACTGCTTATCTCAAATTTTAGAGCTGTAAATAGCCTTTAAACTATTTTTGCCAGTGCTGGGGCTGCCTGCTGTGTTGGTAAAGACACAGTAATTGTCTTTGATACTTAATGTCAACTTCCAAATGATGTTTGTTTSAAAATCGTACAATCAGAGARTGGTTTGGGTTAGAGGAGCTTTTAAAACCCATCCAGTGCCAYCCCCTGCCAYGGRCAGGGGCTCCTTCCACTACCCCAGGGTGCTCCAAGCCCGTGGCTGCCAGATGATGGAGACCAGAAATACTTTTAAAAACCAGTTATCAGAAAACTGCCAGGGTAGACCACGTGGACTCTTTAGCAATGTGCCAGAGTTCCTGGGCTTGGGGAACTCCTGGGAAAACATGGGCTGTTATCCCAGGAGTTGAAGCTGCTGAAGATAAGGGGGATTTTTTCTTTCTGGCCAGAACTTCTCCCCAGTATGTAGTGCTGTCTTACCCATGCATTTGTTG